AGTGAAGCACATTCACGTCAGGTACTTTCTTCTGCGAGAGTTGCAGAGGCGTGGACAGGCTCGCTTTGAGTTTGTGGAGTCCGAGGCCAACACTGCAGACATCTTCACCAAGGCGCTTGCGCCTTGTGACCACCAGAGGTGTTGTGTGCAGTTAGGCCTTGTTGACACTGGTTCTCGTGTTGCTTAGACTTGAGTGTACTGTTTACTTTGCTTTCTATATATCTCTGTTACTTCTTGGACTGGCCTTGTGGCCACTGTTGTTTGTGCTCAGACTGTGTGGTGACGTTGTGATCCACCCTGAGCTTCGTTTCTTGGACTGGTCTTGTGACCGTACTCGTTTGGTTCTGCTAGACACCCCTCACTTAGGCTATGGGGGTGTGTCAAATGTTGTAGCCTATAGTGAGGTTTGTCTTAGGGGGTACAAAACTTAGGGTTAGCTATATGTACCCCAACCAACATCAATGCATCATCCATTCTTCATTTTGACACAAAGGGAGAAGCACGAGGGAGTTGGGGACGAAACCGTACCGTATTTATTTTCTCCTTTACAGTCACAAGAGGGAGTTCGGGACGGGAAATAATAAACCAGGTAAACACCTAAGCGAGAAAGGGGAAAAAGATTGAGAGAGAAAAAAAAGTTGCGATATAAAATTTTACACAGGTTTTTTGTACCAAGCTTGATTGGAGAGGTGGACGCATCTTTCTTAGCAGGATTAGACTCCCAAGTGCGAAATACCATGCCCATGCCAGAGTAGGTACCATTCCTCCACACAGTAAGGGCGTGTAACATTGATTCCGAACATCTGGCAGTCCGAGTTCAGCGTCCGGATTAAGCCTCGTCCGAAGCTGTTTATGATACATTTTCAGACTGACGAAATTTATCGTATTTGCGAAGTTGTTACCATGATCACGACGTCGTGACAATAAAGGTAACAGCCAGGCGACTTGAGAAAACTAGTTCGTCGACCAATAAAATTCCGTTAATCTTACGTCCGTCCACTTACAGAACGGTAACGTTTGGTCGATTTGGGAAGGCAATTTAACGTAAAATGTTTCATCAGCAGCCCGAACGTTAACGACGTCGCAACTGATCTAACGAGGAAACAAGCGATATAGAACGAAGCGGGAAACCACAAAAATGTCCGGACGACAGCCCGTCCGGACGGGCTGAAGTTAAAAATGTAACACGCCCTAACGTCTCCTACAGTCACTGAACCATCCGCGTTAGTAACAGGTCGAACCGGCTTCCCACTAAGATCTGAGACGGACCCGTCCTTGTAAAAAACTGTGTTGCCAAAAACGGTCGAACCGTCGGAACGTTCTGCGACGACCAAACCGTTGGGACCAAAAAGTGTATGGTTCGGGTAGGAAGTGTAGCTTCCTGGGGTTTCAGACCAGGGCCTAAGTTATCAGGGCAATTACCCTGTTTTGACTGAAATTATAGGGTGTTTTTTCTAGGAGCCCTGATTTTCACAAGGTTTTTTCCGGACCAGCCCGTAAAACTGAAGGGTGATTTTTGAGTCAGCTCGGATCTCTCCGGGGAGTTCTCAAGGGGACCCGTATAATTTTAGCAGACATGTTCTCCCCGACCTGCCTTGCATTCCTCTCGGTCTCCCTCTAAACACACGTTGGGCCAATTTTAGTGAATTTCCTAACCACTCTCTCCTTGTTGGCCTCCATGTGTCTGATTGCCCCGTTCTACGTCGACATGGCTTAGAAGGCCAATAAGGAGAGAGTGTCTGATTGCCCTGTTCTCCCGATGTACTCTTCCTCATCGTATTTTTTTCTAAGTCTACAAAAAGTATCTCGCTCACCCCTCCAGAGCCACTCCATCTCCAATCTCCCCAGCCCTCGCGCAACCCACTGTGAGTTTCCCGCGAAATTCTGGTAATGCATGTTTTCAGGCCTTTTCTGGCTCGAACCCGGATTCGTCAAGGTTTTTTTCCCGCTGGCTCGGATTTTACAGGGTCTTTTTCACAGGGGCCCGGATCGTCCGAGCTAGCAAAAATCCTAGCAATAGCCCTGTTTCAGACCCATCCGGGTTCTTGGTGGAGGTCACAACGGCTCCACTAGAATCCACAACGGTTCCGTTACTATACTCTGTGTAACCGTCGATGGTTATTGAGCTGGCGTTTGCATGGTTGGTGAGCGTGATTGACGCAACGGCGACAAGGACCAGTATGACGATGTGAAATGACCGTGAGACGAGACGGAGCGCCATGGCAGGTAGTATTCGCAGTGGGCTTAGAGAAAATCGGAATGCTGGTAGCAGACAGATTGGGCACTACTACTAGTAACTCGCTCAGCAAATTGAACACCACGCCGCGAATTATGGCGAAAATCACTAAAATACGAGCCAGATGTTCTCGCACTTCGCCCTTCTCCCCTTCCCCCCCCGTGCCTTTCGCCACCACCCTCATTTCCCATTCTGCAAGTGCAAGCAGTCTCTGTTGTCCCAGCAGTGGAGCACAACGAGACGCGCCCCTTTTTAGGGCGGAAAACAGAGAGGTGCGACTGGTGCACTATTTTTCCACACGAGGGATCACGATTTCCCAAGCCATCGACGCAAAAAAACTTTTTTTATGGATAAAAACCTTACCGTGGAAAATGTCGGGGATGTAGCTCAGATGGTAGAGCGCTCGCTTAGCATGCGAGAGGTATGGGGATCGATACCCCACTTCTCCATTGAGAATCTTTTGTTGAGGTTTCCGTTTTGCGAGAGGGGGTTGTGGAACATGTCTAGGGCGATGTCAGGTTGTACAACGACTTATATACCCTCAACTCCATTTCTTCACGATGGAAAAAGATCAAGCTTGAGGACCACTTCCCACCGTGTGGAACCGTCCTGAGCCACGATACAAGAACTGTAAAGGTGCTGAGAAATGTACAACCTGATGTCGCCCTTAGAATGATTCACGTAAGCCCCCGGATAGAAGCGCAGGCCTCGGATAAGCGCCGGCGCTTATAAAAGGATGAGGGCGCTTATATCCGGTCCTCGATTATAAGCGCACCCCCTAAAAAAATCATGATTTATTATAAGCGCATGTCGATTTTTTATCTGAAAATCAGTCGAAATACAGAAACGAATTTCAACTTACCAGGAAAGCGAAGTACTGTACAGTTCCAGTTTCCCACTCACATCACACTTGCTGCGCGTCTAGTCAGCACGCGCTGTCGCTTAGTCAGCATGTGTTGGCAGGGAATCAATCCCTGCCAAGCTGCGCGAGAATCAGATTCGCGACCCCATATATTTTCGACTCGATTACAATGGGCAGAACGAGATCTACAGTTTGGTGTTAAAAACACGTAATTTCATTTTTGCTGTTATATAAACGCCGGCGCTTATAAAAATCCTCAATTATAAGCCCACCCCCTAAAAAACAGTGTTTTTTTATACCCCCAGGGGCGCTTCTATCCGGGGGCTGACGGTACCTCCCATCTCTGTCACAAAACTACTTTCCGCTAGATATGTACATACACAGTACTGACCCATCCATTCGGTAGTACTGCCAAACATATGGAAAGGAACATGTAAACATCATTGTGTTGTGTTGGGATTAAAGCATGAATTGATTCAATTCCTTTCACTGGCAGCACGGAAGCACCGGCAGCACTGGCAGCAGCAGCAGCATAAGGGGCAGCAAGCACACACTGCCGCCGCATGACTCGGTTCATCTCCGCTTTCTGATTCCTGAAGCCCCCCAACACAAGATCATCCCTTGCTGCCAGCCGCTCCTGTCCCCACCACCAGTGCATCTACACCACCACCCTACCCCAGCACCACAAGCAGTGCTACCAACGCATGACTCGGCTCCTCTCCCGCTTCCTGAACCGCTCCAATATAAGATCATCCGTTGCTGCCTGCCACCTCTTTCATTACCACCACTGTACCCACTCCACCTTTCTGCACTGGCATCATCAGCAGCAGCACCAGCAGCACTGGCGGCACTGGCAGCACCAGCAGCACCGGCAGCATCAGCAGCATCAGCAGCATCAGCAGCATCAGCAGGAAGGACAGGAAATGCACACTACCGGCGCATGACTCGGTTCCTCTCCCGCTTCCTGAACCACTCCAATATAAGATCATCCGTTGCTGCTTGCCGAGTCTCCCTGCACCAGCACCATACCAACCCCACCTTTCTGCACTGGCACTCACACCAGCAGCACCAACAGCACCAGCACCACTGGCAGTAGCAAGAGCAAGCAAACCTATCGGCGCATGACTCGGTTCCTCTCCCGCTTCCTGAACCGCTCCAATATAAGATCATCCGTTGCTGCTTGCCGCCTCTCGCCTCCTCCTCTCCCCCCACCGCCTCCACCCCCATACCCACCACCACCCCCATACCCACCCCCTCCCCCATACCCCCCTCCACCCCCATCCCCCTGCTGATACGGATCCCCCCCACCGTAACCCCCTCCCCCTCCTCTGCCCCCTCCCCCTCCCCTGCCCCCTCTCGAGTCTCGGAACATTTCGGGATTGTCTGGAAAAGGGCCAAGGGGGGGGGACAGGGGGAGGGGAGAGGGATGAAAGCAGCTTGACAGAATATTGAAACATACCGTGGAAAAAGTGTATTTTTGAGTCGTCTCAAAGACACACTTCTATCACCTGGTATCAACTTGTTGCAGAAGTGGTTTTCTGGAAAGAGGGGACGTGGATGGGGTTCTAGAATCCGTGGTGAATAGGAGGCCGATGCAGACACGAATGTGTTGCAGGCAGCAGTCGTGTTGTGCTACGCATCAAGAGAACGAATTCGGCGCTTTCGGAATACATATATGGTGAACGGAGACGGATGCAGAGGGGTGGGGTGCGGTGGGACGTAGTGGCAGAGGGAGGGATGTGATTGGTGAGCAGTGGAGGGTGGTGGAAAGGGGTGGGAAGGAGTAACGGGGTGGCTGATGGTGTGCTATGGTGTGAAAGGAGATTGGAGCATGGGAAGATAGGTGATGACAGAGGGATCTGTGATGGCTGATGCAGTGCAATGCAGTCCAAGCGCACATACCCCTTTTAAGCTTCTCCGCATATTCACGACCGCGCTGGAAGAAATCTGCACTGTAGCTGGCTGGCAGCGTTGTGGACGGCGGGCTGGAGAGAGGGAGAAGGGACAGGTGCATGAAATTGCAGCATCACATCACAGAGTGTGAAATGGCTTTTGAGGCGCCTCACAAGTTGCAACCAAATTGGGGCGCATTAAAAGCAAAGGCAGAGAGAAACAGGCGCAAGAAAGAAAACGCAGCATGGGAGAGAGTGTAGAGCCTCAGGGGTCACAAGACAAGAACAAGTGCGGAAACATGACGAGACGACTTTTGAGGCGCCTAAGAAATGCAGCATGACAGAGTGTGCACCGGTTTTAAGAATTGTAAAAAAGTGACCATTTAAACAAGCAGGAGAATGAAAACGAAACATGATAGGGATCACTTCTGAGAAGCCACTTAAGCAAAAAGGTACTGCTTCATAACCACAATCCTCCCCTGAGCCCTCCTTGTCACGCCAATCCATATTCACCCGACATCATCCCAGAACCTCTCCCTCTTTCCCCATCTCTATTCTCTCCCACAAAAAAAAAACAAGCCATACCACGGGCGGTTCATGAAGGGCCTCCTCTCCTGCAGCATGCACTTTGGTGACTTGTGAGTCAACCGAGTCAACGCTAGTCTCAACAGCCCCATGAACCGCCCAACCCCCCTCCCCCTTTTAGGCAGCCATACCGCGGGCGGTTCATGAAGGGCCTCCTCTCCTGCAGCATGCGCTTTGGTGACTTGTGAGTCAACAAAGTCAACGGTAGTCTCAACTGACAGAATCAACGCCTCATGCACCCACTCAACGTTCCATACCATGCATCCAAACCCTCCCAGCCTCCCCACAAGGACAAGCCATACCGAGGGCGGTTCATGAAGGGCCTTCTCTCCTGCAGCATGCGCTTTAGTGACTTGTCAACTGACTGAATCAACGTCTCATGCACCCACTCAACGTTCCATACCATGCATCCAAACCCTCCCAGCCTCCCCACAAGGACAAGCAGTACCGTGGGCGGTTCATGAACGGTCTTCTTTCCTGCAGCATGCGCTTGGCCTCCTCTGTGGCCTCAATGTTGCTCAGCTTGTAGCTGGGATATGGGGGTGAGACAGTGGGGGGGGAAAAGGGGGTGGGAGTAAGGGAAGGGAAAAACGGGGAGTGAAGCGAGTCAGTTGCTGCAGCAGGCGCTTGGCCTCCTCTGTGGCCTCAATGTTGCTCAGCTTGTAGCTGGATATGGGGGTGAGACAGTGGGGGGGGAAAGGGGGTGGGAGTAAGGGAAGGGAAAAACGGGGAGTGAAGCGAGTCAGTTGCTGCAGCACGCACTTGGCCTTCCCTGTGGCCTCGATGTTGCTCAGCTTGTAGCTGCCTCGAAGGGGAAGAGAGATTCACATTACAGAAAGCAATTGGCACTTGGCTCTCTTTCCCTTTGAGGCAGAACCTCTTGGCGGAGCATTCTGAGCAACAGGACCACTTGCCTTGGTTCTCGAGGCAGGACCACTTGCCTTGGCGGAGCCGCTCAGCCGGTGCGAGTGATTATCGAGAATTCTCATCTCAGAAATCACCAATGCAATCACATCACAAGACGCACTTGGCTTGGCTCACGTGGTTGGCAAGTTCTTGATCTTGTGAGTCGCACCTGGTGCGTGCCATCACCGGTGTTCCACACAGTTCTGCCTTTCTCCATTGCTTTCACTGCGGCTCGCTCTCAATTAAGTTAACCCAACTCGCCACTTGCTCCCCCGATTCAACCCCCCTCTCAACTCACCCAATTCCGCTATGCCGGTGGTCGTCCATGCCATTCCTGCCATGAGTCGCACCTGGTGCCATTGCTTCCAGGTGCGTGCGGCTCATTCTCATGGCATGGCACCACACCACACCACACCACACCACACCACACCACACCACACCACACCACACCGCCCCTTGCCCTCCCAATGCATATCCCAACACATTTCTCTGCTCAACCCCCTTCTCAATGCACCTCCCAACTGACTCAATGGGCAGCTGCACCCCCGCAATGCCCGTCGTCCATGCTGTGCCGCCGTCCTCTGTTGTTTCAAGTGCAACTCACTCTCATGACACCACGCGCGCCCCTTGCTCCCAACGCGTCTCCCCCCACATCCCTCAACTCCCCTTCCCAACTCACTCGATGGGCAGCTGGACCTCCGCAATACCCGTCGTCCAAGCCGTTCCACCCTCCTCCCCTTCCAGCTTTCCCACCTGCACACCAATGCAGGTGAGGGTAGGAGGGGGGGATAAGCTACTGTAGGGCATGCGTGCACCGCACGGCATAATAGGCAACTGCACTTCAGCAATACCAGTCGTCCATGCCGTTCCGCCCTCCTCCCCCTCCAGTTTCCCCACCTGCACACAACGCAGGGGAGAGTAGGACGGGGGATAAGCTACAGCCGGGCATGCGCGCACCGCACGGCACAAGAAGTTTCGTTTTGAAACGCCTCGAACCCACTGTCACGAGGCACCCTGCGACACAATGGAGAGTGGGAGGCAGGGGGGGGCGATGATGAGCTACAGCAAAGCATGCTCGCATGTAGCATTGCAGCACCTACCTTGCTTGCATTGCATGCACTGCTCTGCACTGACGACGATTCTTTCAGTCAATTTCTGAGGCACCTATGATGAGACAGCAACTTCTTGCATGCATGCAGGCAACACAGCGACATCCGATACACTTGTAGAGAGGGTGTTTTTGAGACGTCTCAAACACAGCAACTTCTTGCATGCATGCGGGCAACGCAGAGACATCCGATACATAAAGTCACACGCATACATACAACAACTTGTTTGTATGCATGCATGCATGTGAGTGCCCCTCCACAAGTGCAGCTCCCTTCCAGAAAGCGCACCTCTCCCTTCGCATACATCATACATACACATCTGCTGTTGCGAAACCAAGGCATGACCTGACCGCCAGGTTAGGTTCAAGTGCTGCAATCAGCATCCTTTATGATCATGTGGTAGCTATCAACGTTCGTTATAATCACCTGTAAGTGCTGTGGAATCTCGTATAGCTTGTCTTCTGCACGCAACCCTTCATCCTCCCCCTCCCCCTCCCACCCCCTCACATTGCCTTAACATTCGTATAATAACAATCACTATAATCACCTGTAAGTGCTGTGGAATCTCATACAGCTTGTCTTCAGCCCGCAACCCCTCCTCATCCCCCTCCCCCTCCCTCCTGCTGCCCCCCGCTGCCCCCACCCCTCCCCCTCGCTGCTTTGCCAGCTCCTCCTCTATGTACTTGAGCCTGGGAGGCAAGGGGGGTTGTGGGGGAAGAGGGAAGAGGGGGGGGGGGGAGGATGGGATGGGCCACGAGGGTCAGGGCATGAGGGTCAGGGTATGGAACTTACCTTGACGACACACCCCCCTCGGCGCTTTGCCCGCTCCTCCTCAATGTACTTGAGCCTGGGGGGCCGGGAGGAGAGGGGGGCCAAGGCAACAGGGTGTTTTGAGAATGAGACCTTTGGCACAGCACCCCACTTGTTGCCAAAGTGGAGACACAGGTGTTTTGAGTATGAGACACAGCACCCCACTTTGGCGCTTCGCCAGCTCCTCCTCTATCTATGTACATGAGCCTGGGAGGAGGGACGGTGAGGGGAGGGTGGGGGCATGTGCGGTGGGTGGGGGAGTGTGGCGGTAAGGTGAGGGTTTAGAGACTCAGCTCCGCATCGCCGCTTCGCCAGCTCCTCCTCTATGTACATGAGCCTTGGGGGGTGGGGTGGGGGGAGGGTGGAAAGGGGACGGGGAGGGAGGGGCGGCACAGGGCACGAGGATCAGGGCATGGAACGTAGCTCAGCACCCCTCCTCGCCGCTTCGCCAGCTCCTCCTCTATGTACATGAGCCTTGGGGGGTGGGGTGGGGGGAGGGTGGAAAGGGGACGGGGAGGGAGGGGCGGCACAGGGCACAAGGATCAGGGCATGGAACGTAGCTCAGCACCCCTCCTCGCCGCTTCGCCAGCTCCTCCTCTATGTACATGAGCCTTGGGGGGTGGGGTGGGGGGAGGGTGGAAAGGGGACGGGGAGGGAGGGGCGGCACAGGGCACGAGGATCAGGGCATGGAACGTAGCTCAGCACCCCTCCTCGCCGCCTCGCCGCTTCGCCAGCTCCTCCTCTATATGCTTGAGGCTGGGGGGTGGGGAGGGCGACGGGGGGCGAAGAGGGGAGAGGGGGGAAGGCATGAGCGATCGGTCATGTGACTGAATTCCCTCGGCGCTTTGCCAGCTCCTCCCCAATGTACTTGAGCCTGGAGGACCAGAGAGGGGGGGGGGAAGGGAGACCAGGGGGGAGGGGGGCGATGAGGGGGAAAAGGGTGGAGGAATTGCATGAGGCGTAACTCAGCAGCACTCCCTCGGCTTGACGCTTTGTCAGCTCCTCCTCTATGTACTTAAGCATGGGGTGAGGGAATGGGCGGTGAGAGAATGGGCGGTGAGAGAATGGGCGGTGAGAGAATGGGCGGTGAGAGAATGGGCCGTGAGGAAATGCAGCGTGACTCAGCACCTGCTCGGCGCTTTGCCAGCTCCTCCTCAATGTACTTGAGCCTGGGAAGAGCGCATGAGCAAGAAGGGGAGCGCTGCAAACAAAAAACGGAAAGGGAAGGCATTGGACGCTAGGTGGAAAACATAGCCTATTCTCTTACTCGTTCTATGTTATTTCCTTCTTTTTTCGCCATCATCACAGTACCATGATGGTACTACCATCCCGTTAGAATCACGTACATGTTTGGATCTTCTACAGTAATTGCCGTTTCCTGCGCAAATGTGTCCTGCAGCACCAGCTCCTCCCCTCCTTCCCCTTCCTCCCCCGCCTCCCCCTGCCCCCCCGCGCCTCCCCCCTTCCCCTCAGCCCCTTGCGCGCCTGTGAGCGCTCCGTCTGCTGCAATCCCCTTAAGGCGCACGCGCTGCTGCTGTAACAGACGCACTTCCTCTAGCGCGGAGCTGGAAATTTGTACAAGGGGAGGGGAGGGATGGGATGGGATGGGATGGGATGGGATGGGATGGGATGGGATGGGATGGGATGGGATGGGATGGGATGGGATGGGATGGGATGGGATGGGATGGGATGGGTGGAAAGGGGATGGGATGGGATGGGTGGAAAGGGGATGAGATGGGATGGGATGGGATGGGATGGGTGGAAAGGGGATGGGATGGGATGGGATGGGATGGGTGGAAAGGGGATGGGATGGGATGGGATGGGATGGGTGGAAAGGGGATGGGATGGGATGGGATGGGATGGGTGGAAAGGGGATGGGATGGGGGGAAACGGGAAGGGTGGGTGAGGGCCAGCGACCCGTCTGCTGCTATCCCCTTGAGGCGCACGCGCTGCTGCTTCAACAGGCGGACTTCTTCTAGGGCGGAGCTGGGAGTTGGGGATGGGATGAGATGGGGGGAGGGGAAGGATGAGTGCCTTGTCTGCTGCAATCCCCTTGAGACGCACGCGCTGCTGCTGCAGCAGACGCACTTCCTCTAGCGCGGAGCTGCAAGGGGAAAGATGGGGGAGGTGGGGAGGGAGAGGAGGGGGTGAGGGAAGGGGGAAGGAGCTGTGGAGTTGAGGCGCGCGCGCTGCTTCTCCAGCGGACGGACTTCCTCTAGGGTGGAGCTGTGGAATTCGTACAAAAAGGGGGAGGGGGTGGAGAGGAAAAGGGGAAGGGGAAAGGGCATGGGGAAAAGGGGATTGGGGAAAGGAGAAGGAGGGGGGATGCGGGAAGAGGGACGGGGGTTGTGTGTGTGTGTGCCAACGGTGAAGCGGAGGCAGCTAGCGGATGAAGCGACGAGCGAGGCAGATGGGCGCCGGGCGAAGCAGAAGGTGCCAGGCGACGCACTCGCACGCGTGTGGATAAACGAGGGCGCGGGTCATGTGAACGGCGGACGATTTGGGGCAAGGGAAAGGCCACTGAGAGACGAAATGACGCGAACCTGTGTACGTCGTTGCATCGAACGGTCGACGGCCCGACGTAGGTTTGGTAAAGAATAGGTATGACCGAATCAGGAACGGTAAAACCTAGATATGCTCAACCCTAGGTACGGCCGAACCGAGGTACGGCCTAAACTAGATACCATAAAAGCTAGGTACAACGGAGAAGTCAGAATGGCGCGTATTGGACGCCCTTCTGCGCCTTGGGCCCCCTCCGCCATCCCCGTCCTCTCGCTGCTACCAGTGCTACGGTCAATGTAAGGGATGCCAAACCGATTGAGCGGCAACCGTAGGACGAAAGACGGTCTAGTGCGAATCGGACGTCCTTCTGCTCCTCGGGCTCTCCTCCGCCATCTCCCCCCTCTCACTGCCACTAACGCTTCGGTCAATTTTAAATGCTGCCATAAATATGTGCGGTTATCCGTAACGACGGAAGAACGACGATATAGTGCGTACCGGACGTCTTTTTGCTCCTCGGGCTCCCCTCCGCCATCCCCGTCCTCCTCTTCGAGCGCTTTCCGCTTCCGAAACTGCCGCTTCTGCTGCACCGGCATGGTGTCGCACGATGCGATCGCAGAAGTACGCGTCGCACGGAAACGACAGTCGCAGAAACGCGTCGTAAGGAAGTGCGGGTCGCACGATGGGATCGCAGAAAATGCGGATACGAGGGAAGTGTGCGTGCAAGTGATTTGTGTCGCCGAAACAGCAACGAGTACGATGTTCCGTAGAGCGCACAAGACGGATACAAGATTCCGAGAACCAAACCCTAAAATTACACGCACTGTAGTTGTGCTTTCGTTCAAATAATTCCTATTTTCAATCACACATGAGCCAAAAGAAAAAGCGTGTTCATGGGCGACAGATGCAATTCTCAGTTTCGTCTCAGTGCGAAAAGAGGTAGTGGTGGTGGATGTCGAGCCCACTCCTTCGCCTGCTGGTAACATCTCAAGGTACGCTTTCACCGAAAGACAGTTTCAGTAATGTGACATCTGAATACGCCTTGATCAGACCGGCACACTTCCAATCAGGTTTGTTTCACTCCCTCGGTCACACTATGCCACAAACCAGTGCTCACTCAGCCTGGGACCGCGGTATCCTAAAGGCCGACAATCAAGCAAAGAAGCAGCAAAACTTGCACCAGCCATGCACGCGACATCACTCCCTTCGTCCGCCAACAGTGCCGTCGCCGGCTTGACGCAGTCCCGCTCGCCGGCGGCTGCATCGTCGCCATCCGGCCGAAACCGAGAAATAGGCGGAGCAGCCGCTTCCAGCGGCGCCATGACAAGTCGCGCCGCTCTTGCGGCCCCAGCATACGCCACGGCGGTCGGCATCGCGCGCGTCTCTCTCAATAATAATAATAGTACTAAAGCGGCATATATTGGCACGAATAAAGCGCGCGTATACGAGGCGTCGCGAAAGCAGACCGGTAGTTTAACGGCGTTTAGACTCGTCCGCGAAAGACGGAGAGGATCAAAGCGATTTATTGCGGCGGCAGCGGCCGACGGAGCCGCAGCTTCTGCGGATGTGACGGAAGTGGACGTGACTGAAGCGGATTCTGCGGCGGTGGAGGCGGCGGCGTGGGAGATTCTGGACGACTTTAATCGCCGAGACGTGCGCGGCGAACCGCAGGTAGGTTCAAACGTGCGGGGCGAACCGCAGGAAGGTTTAAACGTGCGGGGCGAATCGCAGGTAGGCGCGTTCAAGACACTTGCACATAAAGGCTATAATTGCGTCCCACCCCACTCCCATTGCCGCCCATCCCAACCCCATTGCTGCCCATCCCATCCCCATTGCCGCCCACAACATCCCCATCGCCGCCCACAACATCCCCATTGCCGCCCACAACATCCCCATTGCCGCCCACAACATCCCCATTGCCGCCCACAACATCCCCATTGCCGCCCACAACATCCCCATTGCCGCCCACAACATCCCCATCGCCGCCCACAACATCCCCATCGCCGCCCACAACATCCCCATTGCCGCCCACAACATCCCCATTGCCGCCCACAACATCCCCATTGCCGCCCACAACATCCCCATTGCCGCCCACAACATCCCCATTGCCGCCCACAACATCCCCATTGCCGCCCACAACATCCCCATTGCCGCCCACAACATCCCCATTGCCGCCCACAACATCCCCATTGCCGCCCACAACATCCCCATTGCCGCCCACAACATCCCCATTGCCGCCCACAACATCCCCATTGCCGCCCACAACATCCCCATTGCCGCCCACAACATCCCCATTGCCGCCCACAACATCCCCATTGCCGCCCACAACATCCCCATTGCCGCCCACAACATCCCCATTGCCGCCCACAACATCCCCATTGCCGCCCACAACATCCCCATTGCCGCCCACAACATCCCCATTGCCGCCCACAACATCCCCATTGCCGCCCACAACATCCCCATTGCCGCCCACAACATCCCCATTGCCGCCCACAACATCCCCATTGCCGCCCACAACATCCCCATTGCCGCCCACAACATCCCCATTGCCGCCCACAACATCCCCATTGCCGCCCACAACATCCCCATTGCCGCCCACAACATCCCCATTGCCGCCCACAACATCCCCATTGCCGCCCACAACATCCCCATTGCCGCCCACAACATCCCCATTGCCGCCCACAACATCCCCATTGCCGCCCACAACATCCCCATTGCCGCCCACAACATCCCCATTGCCGCCCACCCCATTGCCGCCCACAACATCCCCATTGCCGCCCACAACATCCCCATTGCCGCCCACAACATCCCCATTGCCGCCCACAACATCACCATTGCCGCCCACAACATCCCCATTGCCGCCCACAACATCCCCATTGCCGCCCACAACATCCCCATTGCCGCCCACAACATCCCCATTGCCGCCCACAACATCCCCATTGCCGCCCACAACATCCCCATTGCCGCCCACAACATCCCCATTGCCGCCCACAACATCCCCATTGCCGCCCACAACATCCCCATTGCCGCCCACAACATCCCCATTGCCGCCCACAACATCCCCATTGCCGCCCACAACATCCCCATTGCCGCCCACAACATCCCCATTGCCGCCCACAACATCCCCATTGCCGCCCACAACATCCCCATTGCCGCCCACAACATCCCCATTGCCGCCCACAACATCCCCATTGCCGCCCACAACATCCCCATTGCCGCCCACAACATCCCCATTGCCGCCCACAACATCCCCATTGCCGCCCACAACATCCCCATTGCCGCCCACAACATCCCCATTGCCGCCCACAACATCCCCATTGCCGCCCACAACATCCCCATTGCCGCCCACAACATCCCCATTGCCGCCCACAACATCCCCATTGCCGCCCACAACATCCCCATTGCCGCCCACAACATCCCCATTGCCGCCCACAACATCCCCATTGCCGCCCACAACATCCCCATTGCCGCCCACAACATCCCCATTGCCGCCCACAACATCCCCATTGCCGCCCACAACATCCCCATTGCCGCCCACAACATCCCCATTGCCGCCCACAACATCCCCATTGCCGCCCACAACATCCCCATTGCCGCCCACAACATCCCCATTGCCGCCCACAACATCCCCATTGCCGCCCACAACATCCCCATTGCCGCCCACAACATCCCCATTGCCGCCCACAACATCCCCATTGCCGCCCACAACATCCCCATTGCCGCCCACAACATCCCCATTGCCGCCCACAACATCCCCATTGCCGCCCACAACATCCCCATTGCCGCCCACAACATCCCCATTGCCGCCCACAACATCCCCATTGCCGCCCACAACATCCCCATTGCCGCCCACAACATCCCCATTGCCGCCCACAACATCCCCATTGCCGCCCACAACATCCCCATTGCCGCCCACAACATCCCCATTGCCGCCCACAACATCCCCATTGCCGCCCACAACATCCCCATTGCCGCCCACAACATCCCCATTGCCGCCCACAACATCCCCATTGCCGCCCACAACATCCCCATTGCCGCCCACAACATCCCCATTGCCGCCCACAACATCCCCATTGCCGCCCACAACATCCCCATTGCCGCCCACAACATCCCCATTGCCGCCCACAACATCCCCATTGCCGCCCACAACATCCCCATTGCCGCCCACAACATCCCCATTGCCGCCCACAACATCCCCATTGCCGCCCACAACATCCCCATTGCCGCCCACAACATCCCCATTGCCGCCCACAACATCCCCATTGCCGCCCACAACATCCCCATTGCCGCCCACAACATCCCCATTGCCGCCCACAACATCCCCATTGCCGCCCACAACATCCCCATTGCCGCCCACAACATCCCCATTGCCGCCCACAACATCCCCATTGCCGCCCACAACATCCCCATTGCCGCCCACAACATCCCCATTGCCGCCCACAACATCCCCATTGCCGCCCACAACATCCCCATTGCCGCCCACAACATCCCCATTGCCGCCCACAACATCCCCATTGCCGCCCACAACATCCCCATTGCCGCCCACAACATCCCCATTGCCGCCCACAACATCCCCATTGCCGCCCACAACATCCCCATTGCCGCCCACAACATCCCCATTGCCGCCCACAACATCCCCATTGCCGCCCACAACATCCCCATTGCCGCCCACAACATCCCCATTGCCGCCCACAACATCCCCATTGCCGCCCACAACATCCCCATTGCCGCCCACAACATCCCCATTGCCGCCCACAACATCCCCATTGCCGCCCACAACATCCCCATTGCCGCCCACAACATCCCCATTGCCGCCCACAACATCCCCATTGCCGCCCACAACATCCCCATTGCCGCCCACAACATCCCCATTGCCGCCCACAACATCCCCATTGCCGCCCACAACATCCCCATTGCCGCCCACAACATCCCCATTGCCGCCCACAACATCCCCATTGCCGCCCACAACATCCCCATTGCCGCCCACAACATCCCCATTGCCGCCCACAACATCCCCATTGCCGCCCACAACATCCCCATTGCCGCCCACAACATCCCCATTGCCGCCCACAACATCCCCATTGCCGCCCACAACATCCCCATTGCCGCCCACAACATCCCCATTGCCGCCCACAACATCCCCATTGCCGCCCACAACATCCCCATTGCCGCCCACAACATCCCCATTGCCGCCCACAACATCCCCATTGCCGCCCACAACATCCCCATTGCCGCCCACAACATCCCCATTGCCGCCCACAACATCCCCATTGCCGCCCACAACATCCCCATTGCCGCCCACAACATCCCCATTGCCGCCCACAACATCCCCATTGCCGCCCACAACATCCCCATTGCCGCCCACAACATCCCCATTGCCGCCCACAACATCCCCATTGCCGCCCACAACATCCCCATTGCCGCCCACAACATCCCCATTGCCGCCCACAACATCCCCATTGCCGCCCACAACATCCCCATTGCCGCCCACAACATCCCCATTGCCGCCCACAACATCCCCATTGCCGCCCACAACATCCCCATTGCCGCCCACAACATCCCCATTGCCGCCCACAACATCCCCATTGCCGCCCACAACATCCCCATTGCCGCCCACAACATCCCCATTGCCGCCCACAACATCCCCATTGCCGCCCACAACATCCCCATTGCCGCCCACAACATCCCCATTGCCGCCCACAACATCCCCATTGCCGCCCACAACATCCCCATTGCCGCCCACAACATCCCCATTGCCGCCCACAACATCCCCATTGCCGCCCACAACATCCCCATTGCCGCCCACAACATCCCCATTGCCGCCCACAACATCCCCATTGCCGCCCACAACATCCCCATTGCCGCCCACAACATCCCCATTGCCGCCCACAACATCCCCATTGCCGCCCACAACATCCCCATTGCCGCCCACAACATCCCCATTGCCGCCCACAACATCCCCATTGCCGCCCACAACATCCCCATTGCCGCCCACAACATCCCCATTGCCGCCCACAACATCCCCATTGCCGCCCACAACATCCCCATTGCCGCCCACAACATCCCCATTGCCGCCCACAACATCCCCATTGCCGCCCACAACATCCCCATTGCCGCCCACAACATCCCCATTGCCGCCCACAACATCCCCATTGCCGCCCACAACATCCCCATTGCCGCCCACAACATCCCCATTGCCGCCCACAACATCCCCATTGCCGCCCACAACATCCCCATTGCCGCCCACAACATCCCCATTGCCGCCCACAACATCCCCATTGCCGCCCACAACATCCCCATTGCCGCCCACAACATCCCCATTGCCGCCCACAACATCCCCATTGCCGCCCACAACATCCCCATTGCCGCCCACAACATCCCCATTGCCGCCCACAACATCCCCATTGCCGCCCACAACATCCCCATTGCCGCCCACAACATCCCCATTGCCGCCCACAACATCCCCATTGCCGCCCACAACATCCCCATTGCCGCCCACAACATCCCCATTGCCGCCCACAACATCCCCATTGCCGCCCACAACATCCCCATTGCCGCCCACAACATCCCCATTGCCGCCCACCTCATCCACCACACTGCTTCCCTTCCCTCCCTACCCACCCCCTCCTGCTTCCCTTCCTCCTCGCAGGTCTCCCTGGCAACCCCAGGGGGCGTTGCCGCCCTCAAGGCCTCTCTGCTGCTCTTAAGTCTCTCAAAGCACATTGTCCCCCCCTGCTTCCCTTTCCCCCCTATTCACCTGACACCTCCCTCCCTCGCTTCCTATTCTTCCCTCCCTCCCTCCACCCTCCCTATCCAGGTCTCCCTAGCAACCCCAGGGGGCGTTGCAGCCCTCAAGGCCTCTCTGCTGCTAGCTGCAGAGGCCGCACTACGAGACGAATCCGCCCGCCCGCTGCTCGGCATATGCGCTGGCAGTGTGGAGGAGGGCTTTGCCTCTCTCCGGCAGTACCTGCTGGCCCTCGGATGCGCTGACCCTGTGAGTGACATTACTAACAACTGTAAGCACAGATGGAAACTGCAAGGCTTGTTGTCGAGTTCGCCTGGCTCTGTGGAGGAGGGCTTCGCTGCTCTCCGCCAGCACCTGGTCGCCCTAGGCTGTGCTGATCCTGTGATGCTGGTTACCCTGTGAGTGCTGGTTACCCTGTGAGTGCTGGTTACCCTGTGAGTGCTGTTTACCCTGTTAGCCTGTGAGTGCAAGGCCCTGTGGAGGAGGGCAAGATTGAACCAATCAATTGTCACTCCTCGACCACCGTTCCATACCTCTCTTGTGGCGTATTCCTGGTTTTGTGTCATCCGGTGTTTGTGTCATCCGATTTTTCTCCTCCAACTGCGGGTTTTCCGACTCGAGCTTCGGGTTTTCCGACCGGGGATGCGGCGAGCCTTGGCGAACAGGTGTTTTAAACTGAGTTTGGCCATCCCGGTGAGTTAAAAGGTCACTGAGCTGCTATGCGACATTTTTGGTTGCGCGACAACATTCATTCAGTCTGTTCAGCAACACTGAACATTGCAGTCAGAAAATTAGTCGCGCCAACATCGCATTCGCTCGCCAACTTGCTCTGGCGATTGCAGCTCAAGCTGACGAGAGGAACGAATAAGTGTATCCATCTATTTTTTTTTTTCCAAAATTACTCGCCAACAGATTTAGCGTGTTGACCCGAAATGCTGTATTACAACTGTTGTCTTCCCATAACTTCGGATGACAGAAATAGCGGATGACACGAAGCCAGGAATGCGCCCTTACCGCAACTTGTTAAAACCAAGCAGGCTCTACTGGACCAGCCAGTGGGGCTGCGGGTGGCATGGCAAACCAAGCACGCCAAGGAGGTGGTTGGGCTTGGATATTTCTTCAAACCTACCAATCATCCCTTTCAACCTCTTTCCATCGTTCCGCACCTGTCTCAATTGCCACTTGTTTGAATCAAGCAGCTTCTGTTGGATCAGCCTGGGGAGCTGTTGGTGGCGTGGCATGGCAGCCCAAGCATGCCCAGGAGGTGGCGGATTGGGAATTTTCTCAAAACCAGCTAGTTGTCCGACCTTCCAACCCATTTCCACCGTTCCATACCTCCCGACCGACTGTGACTTGACTGAACCAAGCAAGCTCCGTTGGATCAGCCTGGGGGGCTGCTGGTGGCATCGCAAGCCAACCATGCCAAGGGGATGGTGATTCGGAGAATCTTTTCGGAACCAACGAGTCGTCCGACCGACCTTCCAACCCCTCTCCACTCCACTTGTCCGTACCTCCCAACCTCAACTTGACTGAACAAAGCAGGCTCTGTTGGATCCGCCCGGGGCAGTGCAAGTGGTGTGGCAGGCCAATCAAGCATGCCCAGAGGTGGTGAAGCCTGCTTACTTCAAGTGCATCCGACTGCATTTGAATCAACCCAAGCAGGCTCTGCTGAATCAACCGGGTGGGCTGCTGGGGGCGTGGCAAGCCAAGCATGCCAAGGGTTTGGAGGTGGTGGGGCCTGCTGCCTGCATAATCAAGTTTGACAGTGCCTCCGAACCCCTTTGCACCGTTTGGTACTGCCCCACTGACTACCATTGAATCGAACCAAGCAGGCTCTGCTGGATCAATCGGGTGGATTGCTGGTGGCATGGCAAGCCAAGCACGCCAAGAAAGTGGTGGGGCCTGCCCGCGTCAAGTTTGACAGTACCTCCAAACCCTTTTCCACCGTTCCGTACCTCCCTCATGACCCACATTGCATCAAACCAAGCAGGCTCTCTTGGATCAGCCTGGGGGGCTGCTGGTGGCGTGGCAGGCCAAGCACGCCAAGGAGGTGGTGGGGCCAGCTTACATCAAGTTCAACAGCAACTCCAAGGTGTGATGCTTTGCTAATGACTTAAAATCACGACTTTCAAATGTTACTCACTGGGGCAAGCCAAGCACGCCAAGGAGGTGGTGGGGCCAGCTTACATCAAGTTCAACAGCAACTCCAAGGTGTGATGCTTTGCTAATGACTTAAAATCACGACTTTCAAATGTTACTCACTGGGGCAAGCCAAGCACGCCAAGGAGGTGGTGGGGCCAGCTTACATAAAGTTCAACAGCAACTCCAAGGTGTGATGCTTTGCTAATGACTTAAAATCACGACTTTCAAATGTTACTCACTGGGGCAAGCCAAGCACGCCAAGGAGGTGGTGGGGCCAGCTTACATCAAGTTCAACAGCAACTCCAAGGTGTGATGCTTTGCTAATGACTTAAAATCACGACTTTCAAATGTTACTCACTGGGGCAAGCCAAGCACGCCAAGGAGGTGGTGGGGCCAGCTTACATCAAGTTCAACAGCAACTCCAAGGTGTGATGCTTTGCTAATGTCTTAAAATCACGACTTTCAAATGTTACTCACTGGGGCAAGCCAAGCACGCCAAGGAGGTGGTGGGGCCAGCTTACATCAAGTTCAACAGCAACTCCAAGGTGGGATCTGAGACGGGCTTGAAGTGGTGTTCAACTGACTAAGGTTGCTTAAAGTCCAGCATGGCTGCTCATTACACATCAAGCACGCCAAGGAGGTAGTTGGGCCTGCTTACATCAAGTTCAACAGTGTGCAAGAGGTTTCCTTCAACAATCAGCAATGCTACACAAAGCATGCGTAGAGACTCGAGACTGTGTTTGCATACTGTGTTGCGGGTTAGCATAGCACTCGTGAATTGCTGGTTTCTTCTCTTTAACCAGGCACAGACGGGGTGTTGACTTGACGTGATTGTAGCGGGTGATGTCAGCCGGTGTCATTGTGTGTTTTTCCTTCACTCCACCCATGAGTTGCTACAATATCTACGCTGCAACTCCCATGCTGACTGGTACTTTCGAGGCGCCGAGAAAATGTTATGGCCTCTCTCCTCCACTGGAGCCCCACGTAGGAGCCATGGCTCGCGTGGCAGCGGCTGCTCTTAGCAAAATGTTATGGCCTCTCTCCTCCACCCTCTGTTGCTCTGCTACTTCCATGCGTCCTATGCAGACGTGCCAAGTATCGCCATAGCAGATAGGGACCTTCCGAGGAGTGATCGTTCAGGTGTGCGCTGTGTTGCTCACCTTTTGTCTTTCTCTCCTTTCCCCCATTTCTCTTTCGCACCATGTATGCCACGCAGACGTGCCAAGTCTCACCATACCAGACAGGGACCTTTCGAGGAGTGATCGTTCAGGTGCCCACCAACCCTCGTTTCCACTCGTTCCTAGTCCATCCGTTCTTTTCCCATCAGTCCCTTGTTCCCCACTACCCCTGCTCTTTCCCATTGACCCCTGCACCTAAGTTCAATTTTCCCCAACTTTTGAGACGTCTCAAAAGTTCCCCACCACCCCTGCTCTTTCGCCAACTCTGTGCCCTTATCAACCCTAAGGACGCGGCACCTCTAGCAATTTTGCACGATCGATCGCAGGATCGCTGATTCCACCGCACTGAAACCCTGCTGAAAGCACTAACAAGATCCAATACCATTTTGAACTCCTCAAAATTTCGATCCTGCGCAGGATCGATCGCAGGATCGGTGCTTTAGGTGCCGCCTCCTAAGGCTACCCTCCAACCCTCCTTCCCTTTCTACCTTGCCCGCTCGCTGCTAGTCCGACCATTCGTTTTCCAGCCCCCTTTTTGTTCCGCACTACCACTATTCTTTCCCAATTCCCGTTCCTCTTCCCCAAAACCTCACGCGCTCCCTTCCAATCCAATCCGCCTTCCCCTATCAGTCCCCCTCACATGCTATCGCTGATTACCTATTGAGTCGACTCAACAGCCTTCCCCACTTCCCTTTCCTCGTCCCAATGGCCACATCCACTCCCTTCCAATCCGCCCACTCCTGTCCTCACCCAGTTCATTCGCATCTCATCCCTGGTTTCCTTAGTTTAGCCTTCCTTCCTTCGCATCTCATCCCTGGTTACCTTAGTTTAGCCTTCCTTCCTTCCCTCTTTAAGCTTCCTCACTGTTCTCCCTCGCTGTCCATTCCTAATGAGTTGGATCGTATTTTACTCTCATAATTTCTGCGTCATACGGGTTATAATTTTATTATTGCTTCTGTTACATGGCTCTGATAGCGCTTTCCCTCTACCTTCACTCTCCCTCCCTCCCCACACAGCTTGGTCGATGGCCAGTGGATCACCTCCCACTCTCCCACTTCCCGTAGTCACTGCAGTTCAAGTAATGATTGTAGCTTCAAGTGACAAGCTCCATACTCATGCACCGCTCACACGCCGCTGCTTTTCTCCCCTCACTCCCCCTCCTCCCCACACAGCTCGGTCGCCGCCAAGTGGGTCACCTCCCACTCTCGCTCTTCCCACAGTGACTGCCGCGTCAAGTGAAGTGGCTACTCCCATGTGTGTACAGCAATCTCATGCCGCGGTCCCTTACCCCCCACTCCCCCTCCTCCCCACACAGCTCGGTCGTCGGCAAGTGGGTCACCTCCCACTCTCGCTCTTCCCATAGTCACACCAGCTTCACCCTTCAAGTGACAAGTCTCATGTGCGTGCGTGCAGCCCTCTCATGCCGCCCTCCCCTTACCTGCAATGAGGCAACTGGGGAATGGCAAATTGTTATTGTTCACAGTATTTTGTGAATCGAGGTTCTGTAAGCAATTTTCATATCCTTAGTGTCATCATGCATACTGCGTACAGCATTGTCCACTTCAAATCGCATACGCCACCATTCATTCGCGATCTCTTTGACATAATAGGAATCCATCTACTAGCAACATTCACGACATCGAGCACGAGCCACACCACATGCCCCTACTTGTACCGAACATCCCAGCGCAATTCGGTCGTCGGAGCCGATTTGCCTGGGTCGCCGAGAGGGGTCGTCGGGCCCGAGGCTGTCGAGGCGGGGAACTGACGCGCGTGCGGGCCCGCCAGCCTGGCCCAGGGCTGGGCCGAGCGCACGACCGCCGCCCCGCAGCCCCGCTCCGAAATGGAACAGAGCCCCAGGTTACCAGGTGGGGGCGGCGAACTCGCGTGCACCTCGCACGAGGGAAAGTAACCCTTGTTGGGCTGAGAAAAAGCCCTTAGGATCGTTTAAGACTAAGACTTAGGATGATGTACGTAATTAGCGGAAGCGTTCTTAGTAAACTGGTTGAACCACCTTGTGCTGGTGTATGAGGACAAGATAAGTTGATTAAAACAAAGAGATACAAACTTTTTATATGATTACAAGGGAATATGAAAGGTTCAACTAACTGCTGTTGTAACTGCTGTTTGTAACTGCTGTTGCGGTTCGATACAGCGACGACTCGGGTAACTGCTCTATATGAGTCAGTTATGTGTCCTTGCTGTCGCGCTGCTTTCGGTAGGTCAAAGGTCGCTGGCTTTTCGCTCAACCTCTTGCTGTTGTTTTGTCAACCGCCTCGGTTGGCTCGATTTGTGCTTCGCTGTGATTCGTCTCGTTTACGGCGTCATGCTCGATCAGGCCTTCAGATTGGTTTTGGCCGACCCTGGGTAATCACTATACGAGGTATAGTGAACTCTGATGGTTAGTGTAATTTTTTTTTCCCTGACTTATGCAGCGTAAAATTGTCAAAGTATAATGTGTTATATGTTTGTAGGCTGTAGTGGGGTAGCCAACATGGGGTACAACCCCATTAGGGTTTCATATTTGTACCCTTGCTTCTTTCAATCCAATCATTCCTGTCTCTAGTTTCTAACATGGTTTCAGAGCAGTAGGTCCGTAGGACCGTTTTTTTTTTCGGGCCCACCTACCGCTACCCCACGAATGAGCCTGTGACTGTGACTGTGACTGTCACGCCTCCTGCCTCCTGTTTACTGTTGTCCCACGCGTGTCGCCCTTCCAGCCCGCGCCAGGGGCATTTTTTCAAGGCTAAAATACCCTGATTGCCCTTTCTAAAATCCAATTTTTAATGATTACCCTGATTTTGAAAGGGTAAGCGATTCTGTACCCTTTTCCCAAAAGTGTTGAGTTTTTTCTACCCTGTCAAAATCAGTGTGCGCTGATTTGTACCCTTACGTGTCAGAGTACCTTCGCCTCTCCCAACCCCACTCTACCCAATTTCCTAGCACCTTCAGCACGATTCTCCCCATTTCCCGCACTTCTCCCAACCGCCGAGCCCCATTTATCTCACAGCCCTCGCCACTCCCCGCTCAACTCCCCCCGTTTCCCTCGCATCTCCCAGCCCCTCCCGACAATTCCCTCTCCACTCCTAGCCCCAATTTCCCCATTTTCGTTACAAATCAGGGTACTCAATGTCAGAATCCCAGTCACTAATCACTGGGATAAAAGGGCTTGTTTGTGTAGCGGGTGAGTGCGCCCATAACCCCCCAGGCCAACATGCCTGTAACCCTTCCCTAGGATCATCGGGGATCTCCAGTGGACCTCTGACACCCCCCCGCACTGGGATGCCCGAGGTGCACACACCGGGATTCGAACCCGAGACCTTCGCTCTGATACCATGTCAGAATCCCAGTCACTAACCACTGGGATAAAAGGGCTTGTTTGTGTAGCGGGTGAGTGCGCCCATAACCCCCCAGGCCAACATGCCTGTAACCCTTCCCTAGGATCATCGGGGATCTCCAGTGGACCTCTGACACTCAAAAGTTTACCCTGATTTTGACAGAGTGGAAGAAAAAATACCCTGACAGGCAGGCTGACGTCATCAATGCACCCTTATTCCCAAGAGTGCCCCAAAACCAAAAATAGGCCCTGGCCCGCGCGCACCTTCCTGCACGCGCGTCGCCCTGCGCAGCCCGCAAAGAGCCCGCGCAGCCCGTGCCGAGTCGCGAGCAGTCCGCTGCAGCCGCGCGTAGCCCGCCCCGAGCCCGCGCAGCCCGCGCCGAGCCGCGCGCAGCCCCCTGCTACCGCGCGCAGCCCGCGCCGATCCCGCGCAGCCCACGCCGAGCCGCGCACAGCCCGCGCCGAGCCCGCGCAGCCCGCGCCGAGCCGCGCGCAGCCCGCTGCTGCCGCGCGCAGCCCGCGCCGAGCCCGCGCCGAGCCGCGCGCAGCCCGCTGCTGCCTCCCGCAGCCCGCCCCGAGCCCGCGCAGCCCGCGCGCGGCCTGCTGCTGCCCCGCGCACCGATCGCGCAGACCCGCCCGGCCGCAGATGCGGCCCCGACCTGCCACTGACGCGGCCCCGCCCTGCCGCTGCCACGGCCCCGACCTGCCGCTGAAGCGGCCCCGCCCTGCAGCTGCCGCGGCCCTACTCTGCAGCCGCTGTTGCGGCCCCGCCGTCGCCGCCGTCGTGCGCCTACCCGGCCGCCGCCCGCCGAGCGCCGGCCCTGCTCGCCCGGCGAGCGCCTGCCCTTCCAGCCTTTGGTGAGCACCTGCCTGCCTGCCTGCCTTCCTGCCTGCCTGCCTGCCTGCCTGCCTGAGCGAGCTGCTGCTACTACTACTGCTATTAGCAGGTGGCCAGATGCAGCTCCAGCGACGTTCACGCGAGTCTCTCACGCCCCAGCAGCTTAGTGAGTGGTATACTAGTTGGGGCTGTCGCGGTAGCCGTCGTAGCTGTCGCCCTGGAGCTGGTCAGTTGGGAGCGTCTGGCAGTGGCCAGCTGCAGCTGCAGCGGCGTCCACGCGAGACACTTACGTCCCAGCAGCTCCATGAGTGGTACGCTCAGAGTAGCGGGTCTTTGAGTACAGTTCGCTGCCAGTACGTCATTCGCACAGGTGATAGGACTGGTCAGCCTTGCGGGACGCTTAGTCACACACAGTCCCGCTGCTTCGCCCGTCTGAGCGACGCTTGGCGTACCGTGCTTGGCGACGAGGCTGAGCTCCCCACCTGGCTGGAGCTGCTTGGACAGGGGGTAGATATCTTTGCTCTTGACTATGATGCTATTCTCACTACCATGTATGCATTGCCTACTAGTGTTGACCGTGCCTGTTACCTGTGCGTACCGCCTGACCCTGGTATAGCGCCTGCTGCTCTCAGTACGGGTGAGGCTACTGCTCTAGGTGCTCGTGCGTCTCCTGCTCTAGGTGCTGGTGAGGCTGCTGCTTTGGGTGCTAGTACGTCTCCTGCTCTAGGTGCTGGTGAGGCTGCTGCTCCAGGTGCTGGTGAGTCTGCTCTCTCTGGTACTGCGCCTGCTGCGGTCTTGCACACCTTCACCCTTGACTCAGGAGCTTCCCGCTCCTTCTTTCGCGACTGCACCACGCTCACGCCGCTTAGTCGGCCCGTTGCAGTCTCCCTGGCGGACCCCTCTGGGGGTCCAGTCCTTGCCCACTACTCCACGGTTCTGCCGTGTCCGGCCGCCCCGTCTGGCTCGCTGTCCGGTCTCTACCTCCCCTCGTTCTCTACGAACTTGGTGAGTGGAGCTGACCTCCAGGATGGCGGGGTTGACCAGTTCACTCCTGCGAGTCAGCGAGTGACCCACTGTACGTGTGCTCGGACGGGCCGACACCTGGCCACGTTTACCCGTGCGCCTGGCTCGAGTCTGTACACCCTGACCACTGCGTCTCCTCAGGTAGCTGCGTCTGCGTCTACGTCAGGTCAGCTAGCGCCCCCCTGCTCGTGTCGCGCTTTGTCGCACCAGACCCTCCTTTGGCACCACCGCCTTGGTCACCCCTCGGTGCAGCGCCTTCGTAGCATGCACCGCCGTGTCCTTGTCTCTGGTCTTCCCAGGGTTCTCCCTCCCCTCCCACCCTCGCCTGCTCCTCCCTGTCTTCCCTGTGTCGAGGGGCGGCAGCGCGCCGCTCCTCACTCCTCCTCGTTCCCTCCCACAGAGGCTCCCCTGCAGACTCTCCACCTGGACGTGTGGGGCCCAGCCCGCGTCCGTGGACAGGGCCACGAGCGGTACTTCCTGCTGGTCGTCGACGACTACACGCGTTACACCACGGTCTTCCCCTTGCAGCGCAAAGGAGAAGTCCCTGATGTTTTGATCCCTTGGATCCGCGCTACTCGTCTCCAGCTCCGCGAGCGGTTCGGGACGGAGTTTCCCGTCCTGCGTCTGCACTCTGATAGAGGTGGTGAGTTCTCCTCAGACCTCTTGGCAGCCTTCTGTGCGGAGCACGGCATCACCCAGTCGTTCACGCTTCCGGCCTCTCCGCAGCAGAATGGGGTTGCTGAGCGCCACATTGGCTTAGTCATGGAGGTCGCTCGTACCTCCATGATCCATGCGGCTGCCCCCCATTTTCTGTGGCCGTTTGCGGTCAGGTACGCCGCGCATCAGCTCAACCTCTGGCCCCGTGTCTCCTTGCCGGAGACCTCGCCTACACTGCTGCGGACGGGGAAGGTTGGCGATGCGTCGCGTTTCCGGGTCTGGGGTGCTCGTGCCTTTGTCCGCGATACCACCGCGGACAAGCTCTCCGCTCGTGCTGTTCCCTGTGTCTTCCTTGGCTTTGTCCCTGACGCGCCTGGTTGGCAGTTTTACCACCCCACCTCGCACCGTGTCTTTGCGTCTCAGGACGTCACGTTCGACGAGTCGGTTCCCTTTTACCGTCTCTTCCCCTACCGCACTGCCCCTCTCCCCCCCCACCGCTCTTCCTCGC